ACTTTCTGGAGTGAACCCAGTGATTGAGGCTTCCCTGTGCTATCTCTGGGGTAAAAAAATCAGGTGATGCCCACTGTGACAGATGTATTCTCTCCTCATTTGAGAGAAATACATAAAGAGAATGTGACAGGAGAGAAAGAGACTGGGATATGAGGGGGCCTCCAGGTAACGAAGTTAATTGGATATGCTGATTTGAATTGAATGTGCATGTAAGGGTTGTCATTAACTTCCTCATGGACATATCTATGATTTAAGGGAAAGATACTTAATAGGATTACTATTCCAGTTTAATTTCAAGGGGGAGACTTCCCACATTGAGAGCAGTGAGTTAAATCCCCCTCCTGGTGTTCCTGCTTGCAGAAGGTGTGTGCAGGGAGAGCTGGTTCTCCATGGCTGAGTTACTTCTCCCGCAGGTTGGGACATGGGGAGGGATGGGCATAGGGCAGGGCTTCCTGCACCCACAGGTGGCACCCAAGTCTGATCCCAGACCTGGCTGTACAATCCTCAGCAAGCCACTCAGCTCCCATGGGGTTTGTTCAGCTGCAAACAGCTCTGCCTGAGCTCCCTGAGCACCAAGACTGAGCAGATGTTAGCAGTGATCTGAGGGAGTCTAAGGGGTACTTTACTCCCAGAAAAATGTCATATAAATTCTGAAGGGCTCTTTGAAACTTCTTATCTGGAGATTTGTGATTTCTATTCTGGATTCTCCCCTCCTAGAGATTGCTGTGCTTTTTTCTGTCAGTCTGTGGGAGGCAGACATCAGTGTGGGTAACCTTGTAAAATGATACTGTAAGAAAGGATGTTTGAGAGTGGGGGTGGCAGCCCTGGCAGGTCATCTTCTGCACTTCACCTAAGTTTTAGTCTGGTGTGAAAGTAGAACAGCCCAGTTTAATTGAATCAGATTATCAAAAGTAAATAAGTTCTGCAAAGACTGTCTGGTGAAGGCACACAGAAAATCTAGACTGATATTTATTTATTTTGTCCTGTCTTTGGGGGAGCTTTTGCATGGCTGAGTCTCTTGCTTGTGAAAACTTCCAGCAGTTCCAGGCTGAGGCAGGAAAGACCACACAGAACCATGGACTGAAAGAGGTAGGGAAATGCTTTTTAAACTGTACTGTGCTCCAGCCTGATTCAGAAACCTGCTGCCAGTAACGGTCTTTCTGCTGAATTTCCAGCACTGAAGCAAGGAATCCATCATAGAGCTTTAATAGGAAATGCCCAAGAGCTGAGATGTGCAGATGTAAATGGCAAAAAGTGGCAATTCTGCAGAGATGCACCTTGGCAGTGAAAGCTGCTCCTTGTCTTTGGTTTCTATTTCAGGCAGCAGATGCAGTAACGCTCCAGTGCACATTCCCAGAGCTGATACACTTCTACTCAAAATGTCCATTTTACACAAATGTGATGTTATTAGATAGTATTCACCCTGAAGGGCTAGAAATCCTAGCATGAAAGGAGCAGTCCTAAGGCTCCAGGGCTGAGTGGGCTTTTCACTTTGTCACTGCTACATACAAAGACGAGCAAACTCAGCCAGTGCCTTGTGCCTCCTGACCAGGAGCATCATTCCAGGAGCCCATCCCACGTCTCCATGGGCCATTCCACGTGGAGCGGTGCAGCCAGCTTGCTTTGGGACCCGTCTCCCATCAGGTACCTGCACACGTGGGGAGAAGCTGCAGTTCTTGAGGAGTGAAGGGGTGACTTTGCATCCAGAATCCAGGATGGGGAATCAGTCCCTTCATGCATGGACCTATTCAGCTGTTTTTTCTGGCACCAGGCGCCTCATCATGAGTCAACCTCATCAAAACACTCGTAATGAAAACAGACAGGTAATTTAATCATGGAAAGTTCCTACAAGGAAATTCGATGTCTTCTGATGGAAGCCTGCTGGGGGGGAACTGGAAGGGAATCCAGATGGATCAGCTCTGGTACAGGCTGGGCAAAATACCTAAGAGCAGCTTTAGTGCAATAGGTGTGTTGGAGCCTCCCCGTCGTGTCAGCTCCCTGAGCAGCTCGGGCACTTATCGCTGCGGGGGCTGCGCTGCGCGGGTACATGACACAATGTGGTGTTTTGCTAATCTCTTAAGATAACGCTGAGCTTATGCCTGCAGTCTGTGTTGTGGGAGCATTAGAGACACAAATCTGTGTGGTGCCTTTGAAGGCTGCAGCTCCCTGAATGGAGCAGTGTTTGGGTCCATCACACAGGGCCTTTCTCTGGCCTAGCATCCTCTGTTTGGATTTGCAGATTCTGTCATTAGACACTTTTCAAGCCATTTTTGTAAACATACATCAGAGGGACTGAGGAGAGTGCTGTACCTCAGCCCCGTCCCACTCTGTCCCACTGTTCCCTGTTCCTGGGCTCAGGGCTGAGCCCATCCCCAGGGTCGGTACCATCTGCTGGTGCAGCGATGGGTCAGTGGTTGTTTGGTGCTGGAAAGGCACCTGTAAATTAAGCAGAGGAATTATTTCTGTCTCCAAACGTCAACAAGAGGCTTCCTGCTGTGGAGATGATCCTTTTTTTCTTCTGCATTCACAGGAATCATAATTTTTCTTGTCTGACATCATAATTTGTTGTCATGGAAACCAAACCCTCAGGAAGAGATGCAGTGGAGCATCCTGGCATCAGTGGGTGTACCTTGGGCACTGTCCTCTGGACACAGGGCTGTGGGCATAAGGGTACAACAGCAGGGACAGCTCTCCTCTTGTCCTTTGGTCTCTGAGTGACATGGAGCCATTTCACCTTGCCAGGCTCGGTGAGAGACCCTGGGCTGTTCCTTCTGCCTACAAGGGAGGCAGGAGGGTGCAGACAGCACCCAGCACCCCGTGCAGGGTTCCAGCTGTGTCCCAAGACACCCTTGCCAGGCTGAGCTCCAAGCACTTGTACAGGCTGGAGGAGCCATCATACACATGGTGCTGTCTCCATCCCAGAGCCATGATTCCCAGTTGGAATTGGCCTGCACGGAGCTTGTCCAGTGGTATCTCTCTTTATTAGCCCTGTCTGACCTCATTACTAGAAAGCAGCTCAATGTAACGAGCTGCCGGTGCCCCCAGGGAACTCTGCAAAACAGTTGTTTTTCACAAAGGCTGCTGATCCTTCATGCCCGGCGTTTCCACTCCCATTTGGCCATTAATCAGGGGTTTGCATGGAAGTGGCTGCGTGTCCCTGACAGCACAGTGCTCCTGCTGGTTGTTCCTCAGGTGATTTTGCAGCCTGGTCCCTGTGTCCATGGCACAGGAGGTGACCAAAGGCAGCACGGTCACTTGGGTTTGCATCCCCCAGCAAAGTACTGGTCTCAGCCTCTAGTTCTCTGTATTTCTGGAAGGTGATTTGTACAGGTGCAACTAAAGCAGAATTTGATCTGCTTTTTCGTTTCATTTTCCTTTCTTAAAGTTCAAGGCTTTTCAGCCAGGCTTGGGCTGCATCATCCTGCCACAGGCTCCCTGGCTGTTAAACCAGAGCAGTCCAGTTCACACCTGGTGTTCTTTTATATCACTAACAACTCAAAAGATAAGGAGAAGATAAAGAAATGCAGAAAATAAATGTGTTTGTGTACACAACATGTCTCTACATGGCAGAAGGCATCAGGGCTCTTTCCAAGAAGAGGATTTATTTGGAGGAGGGTGCAAGGGAGCATCTCTCCTCTATGAGTGTGAAGATATCATTGTATTTCCAGCTGGGGTGGCACATTACTCAGATAAATCTTAAGATGCTTAACAACCTGCTCTCCTACCTCCTGGGGACATGAACCAGAAAAAACAGACATCCCTTTCTGCTGCTCCATCTTGCCTCTTCTGAAGGCTTAGACTTGTCCAAAGCCAGTTCTTCGTGCCTCTTCCCCTGCAGCACAGCCAGGCAGGGACTGATCGAGCAGCAAAACGGGATGTGGCAAGACAGCTCAGCGTGAGGCTGCAGCAGATGGCATCTCTGTGATAAGAGGTTTTTCCAGGGACAGGCAGTCCCTGTGTGTCCCTCTCCTAGCAGGGCAGTGGGCATGTGCTGCACAGCACCCGTGTGCAGGGCAAAGCCCCCCTCGAGCAGCAGTGCCACGAGCCATCGGGCCAGCAGCAGCTTCACCAAGCCCTTGGCTCTCTCCATCCCTCTCCTCTCCCTGCCTGATGGTTGCCAGTGTTTGCAGCTATGTAGACACCATGTTGCAATCAAAAGGCTATTCAAATATGCAAATCCTGGTAGGAAAGACAATGTAAATTGTTTGTTTATCCTCCCTCCCTTCCCCTTGCACAACCCCCAAGGCCATAAATTATTAACTTTGGGAAGAGATGGCCCGTCCTCAACAGCAGCTGCTGCTGGCAGGGATGGGGTTTGTCACAGCTTGGGCAGGTTTTCCTGCAGGAGCTGGGGGTTGTCTTTTGGTGGGGTGGATGGAAACTGGGGGCCTGTCAAACTGCCGAGGTCGAATGGCTGCTGTGTTAGTCCTCTGCTTGCTCAGCACTATGGGCTGGACCAGGGTTTCCATTGCTGAATCCTGCAAATGGGAAAGGAAAGGGATGGCAGCAGCAGGACTGGTCTTGTAGGAGGCTTCTGTGGCAACAAGAGGTGATGGAGATTGTCTAACTCTCCTCCTTTATGCATCAGGAGGGAAAAAAAATAATAAAAATTCTCTGCAGTAACTTGTTCTTGTGCTGCCTGTGGAGTCTTGTTGCCTCCTTTCAGGCTTATTTTGGAGAGTCTAAAAGGTCTTTGTGACCCCTGGTCACTCATAGCACACTGATAGTCTGTGTGCTCCTTTAGGGTCACAAAACTTTTTCATTATTTCTCATGGATTGGGGAAATCACCAACTTCAGTGGAGAAGGAGCCTTTGCTTTAGCTCCTGTGGGTGTGTGTTGGTTGCTTCCAGTTCCTTGCTCTGCTCCAACTTGTGAGCTGAAATTTTGAATGAGATTCCTTTTCCCACCTCATCCTCCACCTCTCACCCTTCCACCCCCAAAATAAAATTGGAATTTGGCTGCTCTGAAATCACCTGTAATCTGTTTGTGCTTCTTTCAGATCCGAGCAGATGGGCCTCCCCACGGCGGGATTCAGTATGAGGTGGTGCCGGTGTTCAAGGACGGGAGCCCAGTCCTTCGGGACATGGCCTTCTCCACCCATCACAAGTACCTGTACGTCATGTCAGAGCGACAGGTGAGGTGTCTGCTCTGTGCCTCCGAGCCTGCAGCTTCCTTCCCTCAGGAATGTGGTGCTGGAGCGCGTGGGGCTGGGGCTGTGCTGAGCCCCACAGCCCGGGGGTCGAGGTGTGCGGGGGGAGCAGCAGCACAACAGCAGTTTGGTTTGTCTGCCTCTGCCCAGAGATGGTGGTCAGTGCACAGGGGAGAGGGTTGTGCCCACTTGCTGGTGTCTGCAGGTGCTGGAAACTGAGCTGAGCTGCAGGGGGGAAGGCTGGTCTGGGGCTCTGAAGCATCCCCGCCCAGAGGAGAGATGCTGAGCCAGCAGTGCTCCAGATTCCCTCCCTGCAGCAAGACTGGCTGCCTGGGGGTTGCATAGTTTTGTCTGAGCATCCCTGAGAATGCCTTTATTTATTGATTTGTGTACTGGTGCGATTGAAGCGGTCAGGAGTGGGTGATGCTGGTGCTCAGAGGTGGATCCTGGGTGGTGCTGGTGGGTGCTGTGCCAGCAGCCTTAGCTCCGGGTCCACGCTGTGCTGCCCAGTGCTGTGCTGGTCCTGCTGCCACTGCGGGGCGATGCCCGGGGCTGGTTGTGCCAGCCCTGCTCGTGGCTCCTGCCCTGCCCCAGGCACACAGCCCTGGGCAGGGTGCTGGTCTGTGGGGACCAGGCTTGGAGAAAGAAAAAGCAAAATCATTAAGATGGAAATTTATGGCCAATGGCCCATGGGAGTCTGTTGCTTAGGGGAGCCAGCACAGAGTAAATAATCCGGGAGCTTCTGTTCTTCTCTGAGACAAAAACCACACAAAGTCTCCACCATTAAGCCAGACTTCTGGGTTCACTGACTCGGCTGAGCATTTTATTGGCCATTACTCATGACTGTGTAATTCAGATTAATAGAGCTGGTGCCGTGTGGGTGGTGGTGACAGGAGAGGGGTTGCATTGGAAGATGTCTGGATGCTATTAAATTGTTCTGTGTTGGGTTAACCCTCTGGTCACTAACAGTTTTCCACGTCTGCTGGTAAACAAATATCTGTCCTCCCACCTGCTCTGAGGGATGCCCTGGGAGAGATGTGGTGTGAAGTGCTCAGGGATCTGCTGGTGGAGGTGGAGAGCAGTGATGGGAACAGCTGTCCTTGCACCAGGGAGCTCACAGCTCCTGCCAGGGCCAGCAGCACTGCTGTGCTGACCTGTGGCAACAGAAAAAAATGGGCAAATACTTATCTTGGTTATAAGGTTATTCAAAGCCAGGGAATAAATACTTCAGAAGAGTAAGAAGTCTCCTCCCTGCTAAAAGACTTAACTGATCAAATCCCTGTGGTTAGAGAAAGCAGCATATGCTTGTTAGAGCAACTCAGTGATAGAAACTGTCATAAACAGCAGATTTAGGATCCTATTCCATCTTGGACTTGGATTAAATGGTAATAATGAGGATCTTTGTGAACTCTGAAACGGAATTACTTTATAAAAATGTGAATGTTGTGGTCAGTCTCTGCAGGAGCTGTGTGCTCCTCGTGCTCTTGGGAGGGAGGAGATGGTCTGACATGTATCTCAAACAGTCGAGGAGTTGTTTTCCTTAGGAGGAAAATCCAGTGGGAATGCTTCCAACTCATCCTCTATGAGGCAAGAGAGTCTTAACATTCATCAAAGTGCTAATTTGCTTAATTGTGAAACAAAAAGATGTGAAGAGAATTAGCAAATAATAGAATATTCCTAGACCATTAATTCCTCCCTGGGGGCAGCTCCAGGAGCAGGGGGGACACAGTCCCTCATTCCTTGCAGGACTTTGCTGCAGGATTTGCCTTTTGCCCTTGTCAGGTTTTGTGCTCTAGGTCCAGAAGTCCTGGTGTGCTGTTACATATGGATTTTGTCAGCTCCTGTGACCTCCCTGCCCTGAGCCTGGCAATGTGGTGGTTCAGCAAAGTGGAGGGGAGAATATATTTTTTTTCCTGAGTACTATTTAAGGAACCTGATGATTGAAAAGGGGTCATTGCCAAGAGAAGGAGAGAGGTCCCCCAGCTTCAGAGACTGAGGCTGTAAATGGTGGGAAGTGCCCTCAGAAGTACTGAGAAAATACAGTAAAAATGTCTTCTGAAGTCTGGAAATCTGGAACAGAATGAGATTCTGCCACAGTGACATGACAGAGAGAGCAGCTGCTGTTCCTGTCGATCTGCTGCACGTTGATGTGCTGGGGGAGGATTGTCCAGAGCCTGTGATGGAGAAGGACACAGGATACATGCCCATGTCAAAACACATTTTCAAAAAATGTCAGAGCCTTTTTTGTGGAACTGAGCTGAGCAGTGTGTGCTCCCCAGCACTGCGGGGTGGCAGGTCCTGAGCTGCTGTGCTGTGGTGGCAGGTACAGAGCAGCAAAGAGACGCGACGCTCCGTGTTGGGCTGTCATTGTGCTGAATAAACTGAGCTGTGTGGATGCTTCCCAAGAAAAGACTAGATGGAACATTGTGGTAGGACACTCATGTTCCTTCTGTGCTCGCAGCAGCCAGGATCAGCTTTATGCTGAAATGCATTAGGGAAGCAGTTGTGGTTGTAGGCACAATCCTTCCCCGCTCCCCTGGCTCCTGTCCCAGCCCCGTCTGTGCCTTGCTCCAATTTCTCTGCAGTCCTTTTGAGCTCTCCATGAGCCTTTCATGTTTCATTGCCAACTTCTTGCAAAGCAGAATATTTGACATTTGATTTCACTCCCACAAAGCACAGAAGCAACAGTTGCACAGCCTAGTCTGGGGGAGAGAAGGATAAAGAAACTTTGCTTCCAGCCGTTTATTGAGTTCTTCAACCACATGATGTAAGTGCTTCTCAGGAGCTTCTACAGGCACTTCTCCCTCTGCACCTGGTTCCAAATAGCTCTTATGGCAAAAGAGAAACTAGTCTGACCCTACTTAAAGCAGAAATTCGTGTCTCAGCTTTGTTCTAGCAAGCAAGCCCTGGTCCTGCCCACAGACGGGGAGGGCTCAGTGCTGCTGGGATGGAGACATGGAGCACTGGGGAGCCACCAGGAGCCCCCGAATTAAAAATCTTCCCATTTTCATGGTGAGTCTGTGATGGAGCTCACACCAACCACCCCTGCATGTGCAGAAGAGCTGCTCTGGTTTCTTGCTTTCAGAGGGAGAGACTGAGGCTTACAGGGAACGTGCTGCTTATACTGAGAAAAAGTGGGTTTATAATTCAGTCCTGAAGCATTAATTGTCTGTGCATCAGGGAGATGGTTGGTTTTTTAAATGCATGAAAGCTCAGTGCCTTTCAATTAAATAAGCCCTGTAGGATGGGAACAGTTTTATGACTCCAAGGCTGCAGCCCCTTTTCTTGGCTGTATCTGCTCTCTGTGCGAGTTCAAACTGTTGCAGCTCTGGTTTCACAAGCAGCAGGTTTGACTTGGCTCCCACGTACACCTTCAGCAGCTGAGAGCTAACCCTGTGAGAGCTGGTGGGCAGGCTGCAGCTCGGGGATTATACAAGCTTCAGTGGAATTGGGGCCAAAGATTTTTGCAGCTCTTGATGGCAGAAGAAATTTTGTTATTTTTAATCTGAGAGTGAGTGGAGGCTCAGGCAAATGGGGGCCAGGCAGCAGGGCAGGGACTGCTGGCTCCAGGAGATTTCACCACCTAATCAAGGGCTATAAACACAAATTTGAAAGCAGTGTGATCAAAATACTGCAGGGCTCACAGGAAGGACTATCCTTGTGCTAGTAAAGAGAAACATGACCCAGCAGGTCTCTTCCTTCCCCAAATGCAGAGCTGTGAGCCCTGGCTGCAGGCTGGCTCCAGGAGATTTCACCACCTAATCAAGGGCTATAAACACAAATTTGAAAGCAGTGTGATCAAAATACTGCAGGGCTCACAGGAAGGACTATCCCTGTGCTAGTAAAGAGAAACATGACCCAGCAGGTCTCTTCCTTCCCCCCAAATGCAGAGCTGTGAGCCCTGGCTGCAGGAGCTGCAGGAGGTGCTGGTGGGTGCAGGATGCTGGTGGGTGCAGGATGCTGGTGGGTGCACAGCAGCCAGACCTTCCTCCTTCATTTTCCAACACCTCTTTTCAGCTAATGATCTATCGTTTGTGCTAATCATGTAAAATGCTTTGATGAAGTGCTGGGGTCACAGGGTGTGAGTCTGATGGGTGAAGAAGCCCCTTCCTAATGAGGTACCTGGGTGGGATGCTGCAAATGCAAAATTCATCTTCCACAAGCATCCTCCCAAGTCCCTGCACATTTCATTGCCTCGGAAACGCTGCTGCTCTCAGCTCATCCATAGTTACTTCGGTGGTTAATTCTGCCACAGGGGAATGATTTCATTCTGGTTTTATGTGCTGTGTAACAGAGCTGCATCCGCTCTGTGACTGGGAACCTCACCGTTCCCGTGGTAGAAATAATAACCCATAATCACCCAGTGAAATGCAGATAATGTCAATTAGCACGGCAGGGCTCAGAGGGCCACAGACCTCTGTAGCCTGGGATGTACTGAGGAAGCTTTTGCTCATCTAGCAGGTACCAGATGCTCTGCAGTTGGGATGCTGAGCCCCTCCCTGCCCATTGCAGGGCAGCTTTGCCTTAGGGGGTGGCAGGGAGGGTTTAGAAGGTGCTGTCTTCTTCTTGTCTTCAAATGAGCACTCACTAGAGCACCAAAGCAATTCTTCATGGCTGATGTGAGACTCTTGTACCTGGTTGATGCAGCTCAGAGGCAATGTTAGGAGCAGAGCTGTGCTCCTGTCTGTCCCTTGGTGATGGGAGGCAGGGAGGATTCCTGCCAGGCCCTGATGATTCCCTTCAGCTGTGGGGAGAAGGACAGCAGGGAAGGCAGAGCTGATGCTGGCAATGATGGCCCTGGGACCAGTGCCAGTCAAGCCACCCCACTCCCCAGTGACCCAGGGGGTCAGCACTCACTGCCAGGAACACACTGGGGAGCTTATTGGATAGAGGAGATGGAAGGAGCTGGTTTGTGTACCTGCAGCCACTTTATCCCAGCCTGGTCTCTTAACCAGTGCTCTGGGCATTGTTACTGTGTGTGCATC